ACCAGAAAATTGTTGTGATGTTGTTGGCAGTTAGAGATACTCGGCACACCATAACCACTACAACATGCTGTTGTAACTATGGTGCAAGGAGTCCCCTGGCACCTTCGCTGGTAAAGCTGTTAAAATATTTTCAATATTAATATTTCATTATTATCATATTTTAAATTATTATATGTGGCTTTATAGGGCAACCACAGTCTTTCCAGTCTGCATTGATATGCCAAAGCCTAAGTTCATACTCTCACATTAGCATACCAGCTCATACCAATTTTGGCCATATTCACTGACCGAGAACTATCCACTTGATGGAATTATTTACCCATAAAATCTATCTATCTATCTATCTATCTATCTATCCCATCCCTGGATCTATTATTATTTTCGCAGCAGTAAATCCTTTCCCATTTGAGTGAGGAGCCACTTTGACATACTGGAAAAAGGCTAACCCAGCATTCATTGTGTTACATTAGATTGCAGTTAATGGATTGGGCAGTTAGCAGATGGTTTAGATCCCACACAAAGGTCAAGAACCATTGATTGAGCTGTGTATATATATATATATATATATATTTGGGTGAAGAGGAGACATATCATTGCATTTGTAAAAATAATGCCATCTATAGAATCAAGACTACAGATTGTGGATGTTCTACAGGGCCCTGAGATGGCCTTGTTTTCTCCTAACATATGCTTCACCATTATATGTTATATTTTATACATTCATCATATGTTTTATTTTAAGTTTTGTTTCACAATAGCTATAATTTTTACCGATTGTGTATTCCATTCCATTGAACACAAATCTACACAAAGATGTATATATTTGTGTGTACACACAGACACACATATATACAAATATAATCGCAGGTGCTGGTGCTTTCTTCCAGATTGCTGTCATTCTAATTATCATTTCCTTTTACTTGTATACTGTGAGTAGTGTTGGGTTTTACTTTCTGCAGCATTCAACAGGAATATTATTAAGGGAACAGTCGTGATGTCATTGGCCCCATAGAACTGAGAATGGGGAGCTGCAAAATAGCAATTTGAGTCAAATCATCCTTAGGCGTTATAAAATAAATTAAAACTAGATGGACCAAGATAGTGTACAGTAAGAGTGGGCCCGAAGCTATGCCTTGATAAGAAATACTGGATTGGCCGGGAGATCATCACTAGGAGGCATAGTGGTGCTGTGGTGAGAAGACAATCTTGCTACTGGGCTTATGTTCTCTCCAAAATGATAAATAAATTATTTTAAAGTGTTTTAAACGCTATTTAGACATAGGACTTCTCTAAATAAGGTTTGGTACTTCTAATCCAGTGACAAGATGGTATTCTCAGAAAAGCACCGTTCTACTTCTTGAAGGTCATCACTAGTGATTATCTCCTGGTCAATCTAATGCTTCTCATGAAGGAATATATTCTGTGAAACTCTGTGTTTGGCCCTAGGCTGGTGCCCCTTATGCCCCACCTAAAAGGCAACTCTGCAGATTAGTCTGTTGATTATTCATGCTGCAAACATTTTCTTCCATCACATCCCAAAGGGGCTCTATTAAATGGAGGTCTGGTGTGGAGGCTGTTGGAGTACAGTGAATTTATTGACATGTTCATGTTATTCTGCTGGGAGTACCTGACTGTGGCCATGACATGATGTGCATGGACAGGAACACTAGCTAGGTTTGCTGTGGCATGTAAACCATGCTTAAATGTGCAGAGAAAAACATTCTCCATACCATTACACCAATACCACTAGCCTGAATTGTTGACATAAGGTGAGATGGATCTATGGATTCATGACGTTCTTTGCATCGCACTGTAGAAACAGATGTTATTTTAATTACTGTTTCATTTCTGTCACATGGAACTAGTCCAGCCTTCCTCCTTTGAACTTTCATTAAAGGAACACAAACATGTATTCCTGACCCTTTATTGCAAAACCCACCATTTAGGTGGCAAACCCTCCCTCACTCCCGCCCCACCCACCCACCCACCCATTAGCCATGCTCCCTTGGTGACCATCACAATTGTCGCTTCTTAGCCAATCCAATGCTTTCCCATGGAGAAAGCATTGGATTGGCTAAAATCGGCAAGGGGGCAGGGCCAAACGCAGTTTTTGCCAATCAGCAACTCCTCATAGAGATGCATTGAATCAATGCATCTCTATGAGAAAAATTAAGCGTCCACATGCAGAGTATGGAGACGCCGTATGGCGGTGCTGCCTACTGTGCAGCACTGAGCCAGGAAGCACCTCCAGTGGTCATCTGAGGAGTGGCCACCTGGAGGTGTCCGTAGGGGCAATGTAAACACCGCATTTACTCTGAAAAGGCAGTGTTTAGATGAAAATGCCTGCATATAATGATTATACTCACCAGAACAACTACATTAGGCTGTTGTTGTTCTGGTGACTATAGTGTCCCTTTAATGAGGCATTTTCACCCGTGGAACTTCCACTCATTGGATTTTTAAAAAATATTTTTTATTTGAATAGCTATTCTCTAAATATTCTAGAGGCTGTTGTATGTGAATAACCCAAGAGATCAGCAGTTTCTGAGATCTTAGAAAAAGCACCATGTTAAGCACCAATAATAATTCCACTGTCAAAGATACAAAAATAAAAAAATTACTTGGATTAAAGAATACATATTTTCCACATACTGAAATTTGGATTGAACAACAACTGAACCTCTTGACCATATCTACACATTGTTATACTTTCAGTTGCTGACCTATGATTGGTTCATTTAAACAAGTTAAAGAAAAGGTGTACCTACCAAAGTGGCCAACGAGTGTATCCCATTTCTGAATATATAAATACAGGCACCTGATCCTGCATTTCTTTTTTTCCTTCTTAGATGTCTCTCTAGTTGAATAATATACACTGGTTTATTATGCACATGTGCCAAGCCTAATGGTATGGATATAATTCATATTAAGGAGAGAACGGCAGTACAACTGATAATATATTGTAATTCATTTCTGTACATATCGGAGAGTGAATCAAGTGAAAATAAAAATTGATGTGCAATATTATTCATATTGTTCACTATATACAGTATTTAATTGCAGTTTTAGCACTAGCAAGATCAATTTGAAAATGCCATCTATACCCCTTTCAAATTACATATTATAATGTATTAGTTATCTTCAATAGAAAATGAGCAGTCTTCTTTTCCGACACCCAACATTATATGATGGAAGAACAGACCACTAAAATGTTAATTATTTTTAAAGTGGAATTTTAATTAGACCTGATGCAGTGCAAAATGATCTTTATTATAAGTCTTAATTATACTTAAGGGACTTCTAATGCTAATTGCAGATTGTATTAAAAAAGTGTGTATTCTTATTCTGCATTCATAGTTTTCCTGAGCTTATTCTTATGGGAGCAATTTTCTGATTCTTACTAAAGGTTGATATACACCATGTTTCTGTAATATTATTAGTGCCGTGATGACCAAACAACACATGTTTCTGAACTATATATCCCATGATGCTCTGTCTTCCTTTAAAGGGAATCTATAATGTTAGGCATATAAAGTTGTATTCCAAACACTATAGTGCCTACAGGCCACCCCCTTTCAGGCACATAAAGGGTTAAAAAACCTTTTATTTACTCACCCAATTCCAGCTCGTCACGCTGTGCCTCCTAATATGACATCCAACTGGGGGTACTTAATTTGCATGTACAGCGAGCACCCAAAGCACATTTGCCCTTCTCCATAGGAAAGCATTGAATCATTGCTTTCCGAGGGGGATTTCACTGAGGCTAGATTTCCTCATAAGTGTGAGAACGTCCAGTGTCGTTTAACAGAGTCAAACTCTCTTAGAATCCAGGCAGCGCCTCTAGAGGCAGTCCTAGTCCGGCAATGGAAACATTGCAGTTTCTCAAAAACTGCCATGTTTAACATTGCAGGACAGGGACACTGCACCCAGACCACTTCAATGAGATGTGTAACTTTTATCACATAAACACTCAACCTTAATGAAATTATTATGGTAAATGCGGTCCTTTTTTGAGATAATGTTAAACTTTGCCATTTTTGAGTATAGGTTCAAAAACAATTGGGCTCATATGGGCTTTTATAATGTGGTATTCAGTTGAAGTTTAGTCATCAAAAATGGAAGACACCTTGGCAGTGGGCAATGTTTGCATTGCTACTTAAGTAAATAAAATGAAGGCCCTGACAAAAGTCATGAAATGCAAACACTGCTTTTTAAAAGCTGCCAATTTAAAAGATTCCTATATTACTTATTAAACCGTGTTTATATCTATATTTCTTGGTAGCATTGCTAAAGGAATGTTGCTTCTCCTCCAAAGGCTATCTGCAGTAATTCTGTTATCGTTCGCGCCAGATTTTTACTCGGCCTCGCGCCACAGAGGCAAAGTCCGATGAGGTTAATGACTCCGCTTCACAAATGTTATCATTCCGATTTTGTTTCATCTTGCCAAGTTTCTATGTGCAAACAGTGATCAACCCATGTTTCTGTCAGAAACTGCCACACAGGATTCTGCCGTGTTATACTATAACTAATAAACATGTTAGCTTTTTTTAAATTCTTTTTCAGAACAGAGATGGATATTGCTTTCTGATAAAGGGTTAAGGTTGCATTTCGTCCTGGCTTGGTCCACTTGGATTTTGATTTTGTTTTATATGTGTGTGTGTGTGTATATATATATATATATATATATCATTTTTATTTATTTTTGTAAATTTGATAAGAACTTTGTTCATAGTTTAAGAAAACAACATGAAAGAGCATAATAACTCCTATCCACCATCATTGGGAGTGGGATATATGCAGTTGAGGCCAAGTGACCGGCCCTGAGGGGGATTGTCGCCAGTGATGCGACTCGCTGCACCAGTGACACCCACAATGGGTGTGTCCATTCAGAAAGGGGTGGGGCCACATGCCGAAGAGGAGTAGCAGTCTGTCTGGCCAGCCTTTTACTTTTACTTTCAGCTCTGCTGAAATGCTGTCTACATGGTCCTACTGCCCACTGCCTGGGGACAGTTGCTTGGTGTCCCTGGATGCACAACATCAAGGAACTGAAGCAGGTTATTGGCACAGAACAGGACCCCAAAATCAGGTTTCCAAAAGCAGGACTGTTGAGAGACATGCTAACCAAGAATCAACCCAACTGTGGAGTTTAGCATTGATAAATTGAGAAAAATATCCAATCAATATAATCCATTTAGTCCATATAATCCATTTACTGAATACATCCCAAAGGTACACTTATTACTACTCATACGTCAGACAATGCCCTTTTCTGTAGAAATACTGTTTGAATGTTAAAAAAATAAATAAAAAAATATTCATGTTCAAAAAAACAGACTGGTTATAAGCAATAGAAACTACTAAGAGCCGTAGATTAAAATATCCAAAATCAAAATAGGAAAGCGTTTTTTTTCTTTGTTTAACTTATATTTCAATGAAGAATAGTTGAAGCTTCATTGAAGCCTTTATATATTTTCCTCCTCCTATTAGTTAATTTTTAAAAATTTATTTTTTAAGATGTCTGTGTCTGATGTGACGTCTGATATTATGACAAAAATCTATTCGTTAAAGCAAAATAAAACATGAAAACCCCCACATGACTAACCTATTAATTAGATAGCTATATATTAACTTGTTGAGTGCTAGGGGTGATCAAAACATTGCCCCGGCTTAATAGGAAGTTGTGTTTTGTTTATAAAATATGTTGCTAAAACGACTGAAGTAAATAAAATCAAAAACAGTTACTATGTAGTTCAGTCTTGGGCACCCAGAACTTTTGTCTGTATATATCTAATTCTTTAGGAGCCCTCAAAACATAATTTTAGTTCTTTTTTTTTTTCCTGTTGGTTTTTTAGGAACTTTGTTGTTTGCTTGCAGCTCTTACACACTTGTAAAGAATGTAATTACCAGAGTTATATTACCTGCTTTTAGATTTTATATAGACTGTAGTCTTTATATGAAGTTTGCTTAGTACTTTACTGGATGTGTGTTTAAAGAGTAACTAGGTAGAAGTATCTCCCCTTTACTGGCGCTTGGTGACATGTTTCCATACATCCTTGACATAACTTTTCACCAATTCTTTTAAAACTCACCATTCCTTAATTAACCCTCTTCCATCCTAGAAAGTTGACAACATCATGGATTGAAGGAACTATGTATTTGGATTAGCAGACCAGTGGCACAACAGTCTGGAGTTTTTCCAGTCCTACTGCTAACTACAGTTCCCAAATGTAGCACTCACCTTTTAATCTAAGTGTTGCCAATTTTATTTAAGGACACGGAGGCTCATATTATGCTATTCTCTTTCTTTTATTCCTCAGCAGCAAGAAAAATTTATTTTAGAGAAACAATCAACCATGTAAACATGCCCCAAAGGGCTAGTCCTACAATAATACAACCAATCAGCATGCCTTCAGCACTCTCAACTCCCCATGTGACCTTAAGCCACTCCTCTTTCTTGCTGCTGCCTTCCTCAGCTAAGTACATTTTATTTTCTCTCTGTATGCTGCCTGTGTGTTTATCATATTTATTCTTTTTGTTGTGGCAGTTAAATTTTAATTTGTTTGTTTTTCTGTTTACTGTTGGGCTTCTGCCCTATCTCTACACTTTATTTTCCAGCTGGCTCTTGGTTTTTTCCCTCACCTAGAGCCAACCCCTCCCTCCCCTCCCATCTCTGGCTCACTCAGGTGGATGATCACCTACTGATCACCTACTGAGTCCTCTGGGGCCTCCCGCCCCCCCTAGTGCGCATCGCGGTGGCCATCTTGCGATTGGCAGTTTTGCCGCGGATTTTCGTTCCCGGGCTTTTTGGAGCCTGTGGGGGTGGGAGTGTGTGCTGATTGGACAGCACAGTTGCTGGGCAGCTCACCAGAGCCATTCCTGAGGGAACACTTGGTGAGCTTGCCTTTTTCATATTACTGTCTGTACTTTCTGGTGCCTTTGGTATTCTGTATCATTACTGCTGATACATTGCTAATACCCAGTTTTCCCTAATATCAGGGAAGTCACTCCAATAGTTTATTTGGGTTCCCCCACTCCACCCCCTTTTTTCTTGGTTTATTTATAAATAATATATACTTGTAACTAACCACAACCACTGTCAGAAGTGCTATTTAGTTATGCAATCTAGTAAGGATTTGGGCATGGCCTCCAGCGATTCTCCCATTAGGGATAATATACCCCCTGCCCCCCAGGTTGTCCCCAGACCGGCTGGCTTAACTGTCACTGAGGTGACAGACCAGGAGCAGTTGAACTCGGAAGAGCTTCATTCTCTCCTGGATGCCACTATGACGAAATCCGTAACCCAAGCTGTTTACTCAGCCATGGGAGTTATGTCGGACACTCTGTCCCACTCTATTAGCCATGCCCTCTTGGCCGCCCAACAGGCCTCTACGCACATTGCTCCTAACCCTATGGAACACATTACAGGCAAGGCCAGTGGGCGCAAAGCCACCAAAAAATCTCGTCACATGGACGAGGAAGCCTCCAAAACTTTACGGACAGACAGGGAACGTCCTGTCAAAGATAATGTGGTTGCACCACAACAAAGAGCCACCCACCGGGCAAAATCGGTGCGGAGTTGGAAAAGGGCAAAAGCCCAAGTGGAATCATCCGAGTCAGATTCGAAACAGGAGGAGGCATGGAGCGAGTCTGATGATGAGGACTCATTCAATTTGGGCACACTATTCCCTGACCACAGCGCTATATCTATGTCTGGGAATGAGGACGAGGACGGGGTGGAAGGCTTCACCCTCCTTGACCCACAGGGCAAACCTTTGTTTGACCCTGATAGTCTGCAACACCCAAGATCAACTGAATGGTTCCCGCCGGACCATGTGGCAAAATATATTGCCGCACGGATCAGGAAACCCCTTGATAAGGTGGCAAGAAGTAAGATGCGGGCAGAATGCCCACGCCCCACGCTCCCAGATTTAACATGTATCGCCCCTATAGTGGACCCTAAGATTGCCCAGTTCCTGAGAAAAACTGGGTGGAAGGCGAAGAAGGGTCTCGACTTTGCACTTCGCCATTGCCAGGATAAGATCCTGGATGTCCTCGGACCCAGTGCAAAGATTTTTGATATGGTTGAAACGGCACTGGCAGGTGGTGCTCCCATAGACCTGCTAGCTATCAGGGGCTGGATACAGCGAGCCATATGTCTTCTTGGAAATGCCAACGTGACTCTAGCCACTGAGAGGTGAAAGGCTATATTGATTAAGATCGAACCAAAGCTAGTTGCCTTGGCTATCACTGAGCCTGGGCCACAGGCCAAAGGCCTTCTTTTTGGGGATAGTTTTGTGAAGGAGCTGGGTACCTATGTGGGCACATTTACTGCTCTGGACAAGGCGCAAGCCAATATGAAAAAGGTATTCTCCCATAGAGTTTTTGGCGGGGCCGGCAGATATCGGGGCCGTCTGCCCGGCCGTTCTTCCCGGGGCTCGTACCGGGTTTCTAGATGCCCCTTCCAGTCACGTTACCAGAGTGAGGTACCCAAGTCCTCTCCATTCTTCCCAGTTCGAGGAAGACCCTGGCAGGCTCGTGGATCCAGAAGCGTTTCCTATGGCCGACGCCCTTATGGTAAGTCCACTTCCTTCATCACTAACTTCAGTAACGTTGGTGGGGGGCAGGTTAGGCCACTTTATCGATGCCTGGCGAATGTTAACTTCCGATACTTGGGTCCTACAAACGGTAGTGGGTTATGCCATAGAATTTGTACAAACACCTGTCCAGATATCCCTCCCCAGACACATAGTCTCCTCCATCCACGACAGGGCATTAATCGCAGTGGAGATACAATCCCTGGCCGACAAAGGTGCAATCATAGAGACGCATCCAGGGGTTTCAGGTTTTCTAAGCAACCTGTTCGTGGTGCCCAAGAAAGGCGGGGGTGTCCGTCCGGTCATCAACTTACGTCCCCTAAACGCCTTTGTAGCGTACCACCATTTCAAAATGGAGGGCATCCACTCCCTCCGAGATCTGCTCCTCTTGGAGGATTGGATGGTCAAACTCGATCTGCAGGATGCATACCTCACCGTCCCAATGGCCGAGGATTGCCAACATTTCTTCCAGTTCCAATGGGAGGAGACCACATGGCGTTTCAAATGCTTGCCCTTCGGCCTCTCCTCGGCCCCATGGTGCTTCACGAAGCTCATGCGGCCAGTAGTCGCTCTCCTACGCAGCAGAGGCGTACGTCTGATTATATACTTGGACGACATGCTTCTGATGGCACAAGACCCACTCTTACTCCAAGAACATCTGATTTGGACAAAGACATTACTCGGCAACCTTGGTTTCCTCATCAACTGGGGCAAGTCGGTGGTACAACCCTCCCAAGTCTTGGAGTTTCTGGGCTTCACCATCGATTCAGTGGAAGGGACACTCCTGTTACCATCGTCCAAAGTCAGGATCATCAAGAAAGAAATCCGCCGGACACTGGCTCGACCTGCACTTACGCTACGGCAACTGGCCAGGATCATCGGCCTTCTCTCTGCCTCCATCCAGGCCATTTTCCCGGGCCCACTTCACTACAGGGCCCTTCAACGCCTAAAGGCAAAATACCTTCGGTCAGGTCTCTCCTATTCAGACTCTGTACCTCTCGATTGTGCTGCCAAAGAAGAACTCTCTTGGTGGCTGCAGCACATGGAAGCATGGAACGGAAGAGCAATCTTTGGGACGAGGCCGGAACTTCGTCGTGGAATCGGACGCAAGTCTGCTGGGCTGGGGCGCACGTTGCGGTCCTATCTCCACCGGAGGGAAATGGTCCTCAGACGAACAGGAGTTACACATCAATTGCCTCGAGCTTTTGGCGGGGTCATTTGCAGTTCGGTATCTCAACCAACTGTTCCATTCTTTTACGGATGGACAATGTGTCAGCGGTCCGCTACATCAATCATCTCGGGGGTACGAAGTCAGTGGTGTTAGCGGATCTAGCAAAAGACTTCTGGCACTTCTGCCTGGATCGCAATATTTCGGTTCAGGCGGAACACATTCCCGGGATGTCCAATATGGTGGCGGATTGGAATTCCAGATACCTACGGGATGCAAGCGACTGGCGGCTGAAGCGGGCCATTTTCCTGCAACTCCAAACACTCTGGGGCCCACTAGGGATCGACCTCTTCGCTTCACGGTTGAACTCCCAACTACCGAGTTTCTTCAGTTGGAGACCGGATCCAGAGGCATTGGCTTCAGATGCCTTCCTCCAACAGTGGCCGGACACACGAGCGTACGCTTTTCC